TAGGGTGTGGGGGTAGGTTGGTGGGGGTTGATAGGGAGTAGGGTGAGCAAGGTTGAGAAGGGGTTTTGAAAAATATTTTCCTCCAATGAGTTCTTGAGGAAAATATTTAAGCCGACCATACATGGAAAAATTGAAAAATATTTTCCTTCATACCAAACACGCCTTAAATTACAACTGATTTTGCTCTATTTTCTAATTTCTTTCATCACTGGTGATCTTTTCGAGGAAATAAATTTATGGTCCCGGGATAAATTTGACCTGATAGTATAACGGAGGTTAAACGTAGACAATACCTGAAAGTAGAGGGATATATTTAGCCCATTTCCCTTTTAATTGTTTAAGTATCCCTTCTATGATATTGGGCTCGGAATCAGCGCATAAAGAAAAGGAATTTTTACCTCCTATAGGAAAGGTTAACACCTTATTTATTTTAAATAAATACCATTTAAAAAAATTATATTCTATAGATACCTTTTAAGGGTTATAGTAAAATATTTAATTTTGGTTATCTCCTTGCCCTAAGCCACTAAATACGCTATTCAGTTACACTATTTTCTTTCTCTCTCTACTTTGATGCATCCCATTCTCTTCCCCATTCCCTGAAAACACGATGCTCCATCTCAAAATTCCTCTCACCCATACTATTTTCTTTTCATTCCGATCAATTCTTGCACCGAATTGAATATCACTAAACTCATGGTACTTCTGATTGCTCAATGCTTTCAAAGTTGAAGTATAAATAACTCTCTGCTTATCCCTAAATGCCATAGCGATTGCGTACCCGACGATAGTTGTTTTCCCGACGGAGGTATGTGCCAATACAAGAACTGATTCTTTACGTCCTAAGCACGCGACGGATACTTCCTGAAATGGGTCGAGCTTGAATGGGTAGGTTTTGGCCATTTCGCCGTTATAGGAAGGGTTTGAGAGGATTCCGTGGATTGTTTGGTCGTTGGTTGAAGTGTATTGCTACGGCGGATTCGCCGGAAATTAGGGTTTGTTCTTGAACAAAGACGACGGAGTTTGGGGCTGAGCAACTTGATTTTCTGTTAATATATTTCAATGTATTTTCATGTATTTCATTGTATTCATTGTCTTTTTTTCCATTGTAATTCAATGTATGTTGTTGTATTCGATGTATTTCATTGTATTCACTGTCTTTTTTTTCATTGTATTTCAATGTATCCTACTGTATTTTATGTATTTTATTGTATTCACTATCTCGCTATATAATTCATATATTTTTTAATTAATATAATTTATGTATTCATGTGTATTATATAATTTCTCTGAAGATTGCTATGTTTTGGGGTATTTTTCGGTTGAAAATCTTTTTTATAACTGAAAATACAATTTTTGTGTGTTATAATTGAGTTTGTTGAGTTATATTAGGAGTCTATTATGTTAATTGATTCACTTTCCGTTTTAAAAACAGTGTAATCCCCTATTTCATGCCGTGAATACAGTCGAATACAATAATCTGTCCAGCTATAATCTCATATTTTACTCCATGAATACAGTCGAATACACTCAAATACAACAACAACTGATTAGCTGGACTTCCCTGATTCACGCCTATTTTTGCTACTGTATTCATGAATACAATAACTTAAATACATCAGATACATCTTATAACCATAGAAAAGGTATTTATAATGCGTAATATAGCAAATGGTATCTATAGATGACTAATTACTACTAAAAGATAGTGTTTTATGTACTTTAAAATCTCACTAATGCATTTGCTTATCAAGGGAT